ACGTCGTTGAAGTTTGATTACAACAGGCACTCTTTAAAGCTATTCGCAAAGGTAGTTGCACACAATTATACACTTGATTTTGAAAACTTCCGATTACTATAGTATCTTCAACTTTGGGATTAATCAACACCTACTGGTTAACTTACTACATTTGTCGTAAACTTTTCACTTCTAAATATAAGTAAAATGTAGCTTAAATGGTCATGTGCTTAATTTATAATTTGATAGACTAAAAATTCCACCTGAGTAAACTTGAGTAATTTTATGTAGTGCAAAGTATAATATTTTTTATCATTGTCTGATTGCCTCAAGCACCACCAAGCAATCAGCTATTTTCCTATCCAGTCAACCAGATGACTCTTACCCAGTGATTTCCGTCCGACTTAAGACACTTGTGAATAACAAGGTGAAGCTTTCAATCTGGATGACTGAAATAGATTACTGACACAACATTCATATATATTTATTGACGTATCTAGAATGAATTCTGATATTTTTCACAGCTCATTCAAAAACGGCCAGTACAAGGCCGTTTTATTTCTTTTTTTTTAACTAATGCGCCTACTACAGACTAGGTGAAAGGAACAAAAACAGTCAGTTTGCTTTTTCGGTGGATGATTAAATCACGGAGCTCAAATTATTCTCCTGGACAACGCCTTCAGCGTGAAGTTTTCAACGAAACTAACCATTTCAGGGAATATAGAAAAAAGCCGATAACATCAATTTGAGCTGCAAATCTTCAGTGGTATTTTCCACCGATTCGATTGGTCGAAAAACTTCATCCCTTTCTCACCAGTCCATCCGATTTGTGTTGCGTTTGCTTCCCGCCATCAACACATAATTTCTTTAATTAAAATGTCACACAATCTCAAATTTTAATATAGGCATCTGTGAAGTATATTCACACTGTTATCTTTTATATGCTATGAGTAATTGGAAGCCAGTTAAGCTAGTCAGTAGTGCACTGGTTTGCAATACAGTTTAAAGCCAAGAGAAGAAATGACAAGTAGCATCGATTAGCAGTGAAAAATATCAGTAGTTGTTTATAGTACATACAAGTATATGCATGATTTTTTTGTCAGCAGTCTATCTCAGTTTACTGACAGTCAACAAGGTTGAAAAGCTTCATTTTGTTGTTTTGTTAACTTGACGAAGTGTCAAGTTAGACTGGTCTGATTCAGTAAATTGGACAAGAATGGTGTTAAATCTCAGGTAAGCTTTCGGATAAATGACTTGAACAAACGTCCGGTGTTTAAGTAACCTCACTTTAACTGGTACATACTACTGCTTAATAATAAAATCGGTTCCTAACTACTGATGTAGGTCACTGATTTTCATGACCATCAATAATGATACCAGGCATATCACATATTGTGATCTAAAAATTGTGCATCTGAAAGGAAAATTGCGACGAATTTTTTTACATTGGATTGCTTAAATTGCAAATGATGAATTGTGTTCTTGTTGAAACACCTTCCACTCGCGGTATAGTTGCTAAATTAAGAAGCAGGTGCATTAAGATGACGAGCCCAGAATAGGACCAAATGCGCGTCCTAGATTCTACTGCTAGTCACAATCCGCCAATTAACTTCTGAGAATCTGATTATTTAGCATATTTCCTTTGCTTTAGTGAACTGTAGGATATCAATCAGAGAACCACTGGAAAACCTGAGAGTACTGGACAGCTGTTTCGTCCTAGTTTGGGACTCCTCAGCAGTACGCAACCACCACAAGGGTTCGAACCGAGGACCTGCTGGTTACAAGACGAGCTCATAGACCATTCAGCCCCCGCCAGGACCAAATTTAATGGTTCTTGAATTCTAACTTCTACCAGTTCACGACACTGCGTGACCATTTCGCAATTTCTTCTTCGATGAGTTACTGCCTTATCTTCGACCTGCTGTACCCTACTGGTTACGGCTCCCCACTGGAACCCCAGGTTAACTGCCTGAATAGGGCCAGTCGCTAGTGAGCATTAGATTAGTTTTCAAGTATTGGTTTCCAGGGATTTAGTTCGATTGTATGGAAGATCTCATCATGGGTTGACATCAGTTAGAGAACCACTGGAAAACCTGGAAGTACTGGACAGCTGCTTTGTCCTAGTTTATGACTCTTCAGCAGCAGCTGACATTATTCAGGCAGTTAACCTGGGGTTCCAGTGGGGAGCCGTAACCAGTAGGGTACAGCAGGTCGAAGATAAGGCAGTAACTCATCGAAGAAGAAATTGCGAAATGGTCACGCAGTGTCGTGAATTGGTAGAAGTTAGAATTCAAGAACCATTAAATTTGGTCCTGGCGGGGCTGAATGGTCTATGAGCTCGCCTTGTAACCAGCAGGTCCTGGGTTCGAACCCTTGTGGTGGGTGCGTACTGATGAGGAGTCCCAAACTAGGACGAAACAGCTGTCCAGTACTCTCAGGTTTTCCAATGGTTCTGTAACCAATGTCAGCTCATGATGAAATCCTACGTACAATCAAACAAAATCCCTACAAAACCAATACTTGAAAACTGTAGGATAGTCTAATTACTGCTTCTATTAGCATGTAATCATCATAAATGATAATAACAACATACTGTGATATAAGAATAGAACATCATCAGTGGATAATACTGTACCACTGTGTTCTTTTATGAAATAAATGTGCGTCGGTGGCACAGTGGTTAGGACTCTCACCGACCATGCACATAGTCCGAGGTTCGATCCCCCGACGGCGCACACCTGATATCTATGGTCGGCCTGAAAAATTTGGACTACAGATATCCATGCTGAAAATCCCATACTTGTACGAAAAATACGGTGTGGAATCAAGCTGCAATCAAAACAAAAAAAATAAATTCACACTATGATGGAATGCTATGAATCCATTTAGGATTATCATTCATTCCCTAAATGATAATCACCTTTACACTTAATATTTTAGTGAAAACAGTTTTCTAACTGATCTACGTACCTGCCCACGCGATAAACCACTTACACTTTCCCGAAATCGTGACACTCGTGTTGTTCACCACCAAAGTGTTGTAGTTTAAATGATCTGAATATCTGACTCATTACAAATGGATTGGATGATTTATTCTGACATAAGTATGTACATTCTGTTTACATAATTCGTATCATCACTCCTATACTATGCTATCATGTTCGGAATTTAAGCGTTTATTATGTTGGAGATCAATAATATACTTCTACTAGGTATAAGCCAGTTGGTTTGACTGACATTATCATTCACCTGATCAAAAGATCTGAATATCTGTGAACAATACCTAGCGACACTGTAAGTTTTCTATCTTAACTGAATAACGTAACAAATTTTACTGGGATGCTTAAGATATCTTACTGACTTTTTAAATCCACTTCTAGTAACCAAAATGAAAAACTTGAATGTCTACCGTTCGATAGCCATCTTTTTCAACATCTTGAAAATGTGACCATATTCATAAGTAGGATGAGCAAATTTCGGACGTGACAAAAGCTATAACACTTAGTCTATTCCATATTTAATCGCATCGAACACACTGGTTGATAAGTTCTATAAGAACAATGAAATAGAAACCAGTAGCATACAGGCAGAATGTAGAGCTTAGTATACTTATCTATGCAAATTGGATTCATTTTTATCATTTTGCAAATGAGCTGAGTAGACTCACACGTTAACCATAAGTGGCATTTTTATTTCTACTTTATTCATTGTGCCATTAACATTAAATTGTTGAAGCATTTTATTTTAACGGTCTAACTAAGAAGATGAAAATATTCTGAGATTCAGTTCTTAATATTTTTTGGAAGCATAACAGTATTTAATGAGGTAGTGAACACATGACTGAATGAGATGAATTCGAAAAATCCCGTTTTTTTCTGATATGTTTGCTATCTCAAGATATATATATATATATATATATATATATATCATTATATGCAGTGAAACAAGCATAAGCAAATATATTTCGTTAGAATCCCTGTACTAAAGATTTCAGATATTATTCTGTCCTGAAAAAAATACTATAGAAAGGAAAACGTAACCATCGAAATGGCAATACAGTTAGTATTCTATCAATAATGCTGGGTTGCCATGTTGATACTTGCATGCCAAGTTGAGTTTTTAGTAGAGTGAGTTAAACATCTGAAATATATTTATTGCTATTTGTTGAATAAGACTGAATGTACATATGTTAAATGCACTTCCCGATGAACAAGGTGGACCAGATAGGTCTTATTTAAATACATTTTACTGAGGACTTCTGATAAACACCTAAGTCAGAAAATATCAATATGTTCATCAAATAAATTATACAACGGAGACAGTTCAGTTTTTAATGAAGATAATATTAATTTTTTCATCACTTTTAGGATGGATAGAAAGGGGATGAAGCTATGAAATTTCGGTCTAACATTTACTTTTGTAGTGTCTGTAATGTTTGAAATGGCAGTGTCTCACTAACTGTTATTTCCAGTAAATGAATTTACTCCAAAGTTTACCTTACTATTTTGTCAACATTCTCATCGAAACAGAATTATAGTATTATGATACTTTTTTTTCTAAATGGACAGAATATTAGCGCACCAGTGTACTGATATTTTGTAACAATCGTAATTACTTGCAATGCACTGTGACAGTATATATGTTAAAAAATCACAAGGAATCCTGTAAATCTATCATAAAATAACTACAAGGATATGTGTAAGATTTAACAAGGTATTTAGCTTTAACGTTTCAACAATAACTTTTGATTACAATTGGTATTTTTGTTTTAATATGGGTTTTTTGTCACTCGTAAAAGATTCTCATTGAATAGTGCAAGGATAAGTAGTGATTACGATTATTTTTCATGGTCTTATGATGCAATACAGATACCCAGAAAAGAAAGTTATCTCCGATGATAAAAGCCAGCCTTTTCTAGCTAAAAGAAGTCGAGAGAAATGTAAGGTCTGAAACTATTAAAATCAAAACCGACTTCATTTTATAAATGGTTATTCACTCAGGTACTCAGTAGGAAAACTTACCTATTGCATCTCCTTTCCATGAAACCATCTGTTTAATTACTTTCTCTGTTACTTTATTTGATTTACTCAACTCGTGGAAATCAATAAATTTATCAGGAAGGCAACCATGCACTGTAATTTCGTTAAAATAAACATAACTACATAAGTCAGATCCAAGTATATCCGGTAGACTGACGTATCTCTGGATTAAATCATTCGACCGGTTAACAGATTGTACTACACAAATTCTGTTCACAAATGCATTCATCACATTTATTTCACCTTTAATCTTGTATCTGCCCATTGTTAAAACCGCATCTACTGAATTCGAGTCTACCAAAGACATTACTCTGTTTCGTAGAAAACATACTGAGAAATCTATAACCGATTGATGCCGCGTGAAATCGTAAGAAGCATAAGCTGATAATGTTGGCTGAATTGATGAACCTGACAAAAGAAAATGTAATTATTTATGAAAATTATTTTTTTTTCAAAAGTCTATAGCTAATTAGTGATAACCTTTGTGTTATGTATGCCGTTTGCTTCATTTTTGGACAGTATAGTTAATCTCATTTAAAGCTTCATCTATTAGTGAAGTGCTTAAATTAATGTTGATATTTTACATATCTATTCTGAACAAAAATAATAGTGCAGATTTTACAAAGTGATAACCATAAAGTGTATCACTATGTAAACTGTCATGAAACTGTACCAAAGTATTGTTCTAATGAAATAATTAGAAAGTTCATTATCCATATGTATCTTCATTTTGTGCCGGTTGATTGGAATTTAAACCATAGGTTATAAGTAACTCCATGAACTGAGAGTATCGCTGATCAACTGACTGAAAACAAAACACGTAGTTCAGCTAAGAGTCTCTTTTCGGCGAGTTCCTTGAAGGAGCAGCTGATTAACAAACTTAAGTAAACGCATCAATTCAGCAGTAGCAACAGATGAAAAACACCCGACAACTTTGGTTTTAAATTGACCAAAAAAACGAATTTGATGATGGCCGCAAACAAATCTATTACGAAATGGAAGCATTTGAGAAATAAATTACTTAAATACGAACTTATATACAAAATGAATGCATCCAAGCTACACACAAAGTACAAATATATTTACTGCTGCCTCACATGAGTATTTTGAAACTAATGGCATTCAGTTTTCGTTTAAATGACTATAATTCGATTTATCACACCTACTGTAATAAAATTTTGCTGCATACATTGATTTTCAGCGTACATGTTTATAACTAGGTAGACGTATTGGTAGTTGCGTGAAACCTATTTGACGTGAACTTTGAACTTCTGTTTTCAACATTATTCAAGATTATTATTGGCTAAGTCCCCTGAGTGTGTATAGTAACGTGATCACAGATATTGGAATCAAATCCAAGGGTTATACTGAGTTAACTGCCAAAATAAGAAACTCATTCTAAGAGATTGCTTATTCTTCAACAGAGGTAGTGGAAGGAATTCGAAAATGGAAATCTAATCGATGTTACAGACAAGAAAACTTTAACAAAACTTCATTTTATTCTTGTTTGTGTTTAGTGCGAAGATCGGTTATTAAAGAACTGTGATCGAATGTACATATGCTCAGTGATTGAAATATGAGTGCAATGAAGCGTGAACCACAAGAACTGGAGCGGATATCAAGACATAGTCATATGCTAGTCACCTATCTTTAGTATTATTTGTTTTCTAACAGTCTTTTTTGTCAGACAAACTGTAGAAAATTATGCTTAAATAACAGTTTTTGGTATTTATTTTTATCTCTGTATTACTAACAATTTCCCTTAAAATACTGAGCATGCAACACATTTAACACGATGTAGTGATCTTGTCAAAAAATCTTAACATTTATTAAAACAGTCTTTAAAAACATCTATCCTAAAGGAAGGATTTAAAGAGGTTGCTTGTTCTATATCGACTGATTAACCCACGTGTTCCATCAAAAAATATGTACAAACATCAACTTTTCCTGTCCACATGTTTTGTCAAGTATCATCACTTTCCTCTCACTTATTTCATTCTACTAACTAATAGATAGAAATGAGAGTGAATTTGAATATTTTTTCTGGTCATTTTGATAACTGCTGACAGAAACTGGGTTTCCTTAATTAATTCTTTTCATCGTAAGAAAGAAAGAGAGGAAATAATAGCAATCAGACCAGTACCTAAATGTCTTCGTGAATAATACCTTTAGTTGTAGTTATTTCAGTGTGAACCGTGGTTCATAAACAGTTCTCATCTATGAGCTATTGAGAAATCATAAAGGTGGTTTAGCAAAGAATAGGAAATCTCCTAACAGCGCTTCTTCGCTAAACTACTTGTTTTGTATTTATATTAAATATGATCTACAACCTTCTAAAATATTACTAGTTATGGATATTAGAGATTTTCAGCACGCTCAGTAGAAACACAGTTAGGAGGGGTTAAGAAATACGGTAATAGCTTCAGTATCTGCAAGTGAAAATAAAACTGAACTTCATTTAACCGATCTCAGTGTAGCTGATAAATAACTTGTAGTTTTTAGCATGCTTCAGCATGAGGATGCCTGCCACGTCATTTTTCTAGTTTTGCAAATGTCGCATATAATTGAAATTCTAATCCTGTGTGAGCACTCACAAGACTCCTTGAGCACAGTGCTGTCAAAAAAGAACAGGGTTGAAACGTCACATACTTTTACATAATACTTTTCACAGTAAGTTTATCATATTGCTATTATTAAGCCGTTAGAAAAATTAGGTTAAGTACTTAAACAGTTAGTCACTTTATATAAATTTGGACAGTGTTATTAGAAGATGGAGATTATCCCGAATAATGTGATTTATTTACGCAATTCATTTCGAAAAATCTGATCACACATTTTTTTCCTTTCCATTCCCCAGTGGCTTGAAGTTTCTGTAGCAGTGTTTATTTTACAGGATGGGGTTTCTAGCCCAACCTTTCTTCTTTTACCAGCATTATTTCTGGTTCAGCGAGGTAAAGGAGTGAGTCGGCCGGGAATCGAACCCCAGACCATGTGAATGGTCGGCGAGCGTCCTAACCGCTGTGCCACCGACGCACAGTAATTGATCACACATTTACTTGACAAATCAAATTATCTGTTAAGTATTATTAAATTTGAGGTACTTAGTGAGATTCATGTCGGTGGCACAGTGGTTAGGACTCTCGCCGACCATGCACATGGTCCGGGGTTCGAGCCCGCACCGACGCATACCTGATATCTATGGTCGGCCTGCAAAATTTGGGCTGCCGATATCCATGCTGAAAATTCCATACTTGTACCGAAAATTCAGTGTGGAATCAAGCTGTAAATAAAAAAAAATGATAGGTGGAAGTAGGTGACCCTAAATTAAGAAGTGAAGAACCAAAGTGTTTAATGCGAGATTCATGAATACTCCATCAAAATTATGACCCAAACAATAGCATCTGATATGAATAAGTCACGCCTCTATATTTTGTTTTCGCAAGAAACTAAACTTTCAGGATACTTTTTATTTTTAAACGAGGAAAACTCCAGATTATTATTTGCATCTTCTCACCAGTACAATCTTTTGCAAAATATGGGTAGTATCCTGAACTCCTCCTCGCACCAAATGATTTATCCTTTGAAGGCTGCTTACTTAACTGCTGATTTCGAATGGAAAATGTTTGCATGAAAACCACTAATATGTAAAGTATTTCGGACTTCTGTACAAATACTTGGTATTTACTGTTAGAACTCACAGTTGGATAATCCAGGTTCCAAATTATATGCGTATATACTGTTATGGGAATACTTATTATGGAGAATAATTCAAAGAAAGTATTCCATTTTAATGATGTCCAAATTAGCTGTTGATTAGCAAGAAGTTCTATAGAAATGCCAGAATTGCCTAGTATTGATGGTTTTGATTCCAACAACCTGCAAATAACAGATAATGAATCTTTTTGAAATCTGGAATTGTTTTGACGCTGAAAATAATATAAATATATCTGTATATTACATTATTGTTAATCCAAGTCAATACTGGACATAAAACAAGTCATTGTTTGTTTGAAAAACTTATTGTGGGTCTTTTATATACCACACTTCTTTGGAGGGGTGAATAATCTCCTAGTGAAATAGTTTCTTATTGCAACCAAGTGATAACTTCTGACAATTTTAATAACCTGATTTTTGCGGTAGCTGTTAAGACAGAATTTTTCTGTTGAATTATTCTAGATACATTTGTTTCAGAATAAATTGTCAACACAAATTCAGTTAACTTGTTTTATTCTTGCACTGCAGTCTACAAAACACCCAAGGTTATATCAATAAACTTTAGTCTATCACCTGCGCTATTTTTACCAGTAAGTAAGAACTGTTTTAAATAGGTCATACATGCAGAAACTGAATGTATGTGGATATATATCGAAAAGTTGTATCAATTTGGCAAGTGATACTTAACTCCAGAAATATAAAAGGAATAATGTTTACATAAGGAAAACTTGGCAGTTATAAAAATATGTGCCATGGTTTTTTCATGCGCCTAATATTGTTTGTCATTCTTTATTACCAACATGCCGTTTCTCTATTGACTATACACTAATGCGTATTAGTGTGAAATCATCTAATTTTTCTTTCCTGCTAAACTTTATTATGCACTATAATCAGAATATTTTCTCAGAAAAACAGGAAGGCAAACAGACAGTTTATATATATATATATATATACATATATTTAAGAGCTCAGAGAATTACACTTTGACATTGTATGGAAATCTGTTTCACAAGTTAAAAATCAATCTTCCCAAATCGGTCGGTTTTTGAAGTGATTTGGCTCTCTGAGTTCAGTTGAACTAGGTAAATTTCTGATGAGGCTGATCTAGTGCGAAATAAATGTCCATCCAATGTTTAGATCACTGCGATAATCTGGCTAGCAAGCACCACTAGTCCATGTGAGTTTTTCACGACTCTATTCATTTCAATCAGTCAGTAGTAAGTAGTTTTATAAAATGGAAATGAATGCATAATGGAACAGAAAATAATGCAGCCTAATTTCAGACTTTGTAGAGGAAATAGTAAATTGAAGTATTCCAACTTCTCTGCAACAAACCTCTTAAGCAATCTTTATCTTATTTTTTCACATAAAGCTAAATTGTAACTATATGTGTAACACTTTTTTTAATAATTCATTCTTTTTAAAATATCTCGCTAATGTATTTGTCAAAAATATGATGAAGCTTTAACTTAAATGTATATATAACAGATATGTGTATGTTGAAATGTAAATACGGAGATTTTTAACAAAAAACCCGTACGATAAATGGACTTATTTTGGTCATATGATGGTGGAGTTAAAGCAATTGTGCCTGATTCCTTATCATATTTAGATAATAAAAAGAACAAATAAATTATTGTTATTATTTAAAGTGATGAATCCCGTAGTTAGCCAGTAAATCATATATAAAACGTAGTTAATTTAGCGTGAAATAGAATAATTGGTTTTGTAGTCAATGGTTTTATGCATATGTGAAAATCCCATTGAATACAAAAGATCAACATGGAAAGAAGTTGATTGCTTAAATGATAATTGCGTAATATTGTTGTAGTTCAGTGCTAAAATAAATAAACAACATTAAAACATGACTATCTTAATTAGGTAGGCTTCTTGAAGATTATTATTATCGTGGTCTTAGGTCTCTAGGAGTAGCTGACTTACCAGGATGTATTCATTGGGCACAAAGTTAAACTGGCATTTTCATGTTTTATGCACTTATCTGAGTCTTTCTTTAACCCAGGCATTTTCCAAATACTTGTCAAATTTTTAACATGATGCGAATCCTTTTGAACAGTTTGATAACTTTCAACTGTGTAGTAGAATCGATTCAAAGAATCAAAGTCCTGTATTAAGAATTTTGGTATACTGTTGGATGAAAGATAATTAATCTTTTGAATGAGCGACACTCTGTCTGAGTGTCCTAATTTCTTTGAAAAAACGGCTGCCGAAGAGTCAAGGTATGAAGCAATCCATATTAAATGATTATGTTTTGAGTCTACGACAAAGTCGATAACGGGGGATTGTTGAATCAAGGTTGGATAGCCATATACTACATTTTCCAAACTGTTACCGTAGATATCATGTTGATAAGGACTAAGAGTCCATCTATAAATCTTTGAAAAACGAAATATTTTTTAACTGAAGCAAGAAATTATCAAATTTTGAAATATTTTGCAATGTAAATGATATAGTTTCCCACTTACTTCAGTAATAGTCAATTTGCTGAAATCTCAGAACCTATGGAGCAAAACATTCTTTTGAGTCGGAAAAATAAATTGTCAGCAGCTATCAAAGTTTAAGTGTTTCGACTGAAAACTTCAAATATGAACTCAAGTATCCTAATGTTGAGTAAATGAGAATTCAAAGAAAGTAGTTTTGGCACAGTACCTTAAACACAATGAGTTCAGTCTATTAAGAAATATATTGATAGATCCAACAAGGAAATTCATATCACATCTGATTTTACAAGGTTGTTATTGAGGGAACGGTTCTTCTTCTTATTATTATTATCTCTACGCCATCAAGTTAGCCGAAACTGCTTGTTCTCGGAATAGTAGAATTAACACGAATATATCAGCTGTTCGACCTGCACGAACTTACCTGTATATCGGATTTAAAACGATTCAGGCAATTTTACTGCTTCAAAAAATTATGCGACTTATAATCAACTTCCAAATATGTGAGACCGTCAAAAAGCGCTTATGTGAAACTGTGTTTTTATTAAATCAAATAAGTGAATACACGACAATATGGATTACTGAAATGACTGTACAGTGAGTGAAAACATGGCCAAATTCTTAAAACCTATTTTATTTTCTGTGTAGTTTTGGCTAACTCTGAAAAATTCTAAAGTGAAATATTTCATTCCCAATAAAGGTATTGAAACTTACAAGTTCAGCCAAAAAATATTTATTTGAAGTGCACTAAATCAGTAATGATACTACATAGGAATTCATTTTGAAAATCGTCTTCTGTTTAGCTACAGGTTATATTGAATTCATCTTTCATTACAGAACTGTTGATGGGAAACCTTAAGTCACTATGCAGCCTGAAATTATTAACAGTATTCCCTTCGGTTTCAAGTGCAATATAGGGCTACAACAACACATCTTCACTTTTTTCTACTCTCTGCTGTCCTCTTCATCTGGCTCCACGTTTCACCATAATCTCTCATCTCCTCTTCTTCGCCACACGACCTCCTCCATGTCACTTTCGGAAGACCTACTTGACGCTTTCCACTGAGATTCCACTCAAGTGACAATCTAATCTTCAGTATGGAGCCAGCAAAGGAGGCATGCGTTGATAAAAGTCCCCAGTGGCCTGTGGCAAATGCTTCTCGTGAAACAGTTCGCGAGTTTCTGACCCGTATACAAGGACTGATTGACTTCACATTTGTGTTGAGAATCCGAATCTTCTTCTATATTTTGAGGTGGAGTGCAGAAGAGTTTCAAACTGGCTACAGATTGAAGAAGGGGTATCTTGCCTTTCTGATCCTCACTGGCTTTGACATCTTCATCTGTTCTGAGTGACTGTAGTTTACATATTCTTCCTGACTGGATAAGGGAAGGAAATAACTACTGTCGAATCCCTCCAGTGGTGGTGACTGGTGCTGTTTCCGATGGTGATAATTGCTTGTCTTCATCACTTTCGTCCCCACCTTCTTGGCGTTCACTTGGAGTCCTGTATTCGTCACCAGCCTCTTCGGCCAGTTTGATGCTTCTCGCCTGCAAGTCTTCCAGTTTGTGTGATGTCAAACATGCATCAATCACACCTGGAATCCAGATCTTCTAGAGTCTTCTTTTCGGTGATTTAGCGTACTCCTGTCTCCCCACTACCCACTCACAGTCTGACCCCAAATCCAGTCAGTCCACCACAATTAAGAATGTCATCGGTGATAACAGCCAGTCAGCTTGTCTTACTCTTGTGTGCACTTCAAACGCCTCTCTGAGTTTTCCGTTGTGGATCATCTGAGTGATACGTGGCACTGTCATATAGCCAGGTGTTGAATGAGGTTGATAAGGACTTGGACACTACAATCTGTAGTGTTGTCCATCTTCGAATTCAGTCATCTTCACTTTCACCATCCTCCTCTCATATCCTCTCCTAGATTAGCATCCAGGTAGGTTTCCGTCGAGAACCATTCCTTGTCTTGTCTCTTCTTTCATCCTAGAATGGGGGCACACGTTTCCTTCAACATTACACTCAGTGAGTTCCAAAGTTCTTTCTCGTAGGTTTCTTGACTGGTACCATGTTGTATCTCCGACTTTGCTCTAGTGTCATCTGTATTGAAGGTATCCTTTGTAGTTATTTACAGAAATCTTCCTTCTTCTCTTGTTCCGAGTTGTTTGTAGCACTGTGGGGAGTATTGGATTATTGTGGCCTCCCTTCCTTCCTCTTGAGTTGAACCTTTCTGTCATGACCCTGGATGAAGAAATTGATTCCTGCTGCATTAGGGCTTTGGCTTTCACTCGTGACATCATGATAGCCGCCTATTGTCTCAGTGTGCTAGTGGATTTCGTCTGAGTAACCAGACCGGAGTAGATTACTGACTCACCAGTCGACGATTTCGACAGCTCACATCCATTCCATCTTCACTCGCAGATTCCCAGTACTTCTATGCCATATCTTCTCATTTCTTTAGCTACCTGAGCAACTCTCCCATCCTCGTTCATGTGTAGGGACGTCCGACGTCCCTCTTCCTATTCTTGCATTCATCGAGGGAATACACATCGGTTGACAGATTGGCTTTCGGAAGGCTGACTTTCACCAGCCCGCTGTGTCACTTCGCCTCTCCGATTCGAGAGATATTTCTTGTGCGTTGAAGTTTTTGTAGCAGTTTGATTGGTTTTGTGGTTGTTGATCGCTAGCCACACACTCAAGCCCGCCTGTTTATCCGTGTTTTGGACAAGCTCGAAATCTAGTGAGCTAAACTGGACGAGGTTATGCAGTCTGAAAAGAGAGACGTTATTAACGTAAACGGGATCAAACTGGTTGATTTTTTCAAGAAGTTGAATTTAGATAGGTTTTTATTGCGCTTATTACTTGGTGGATACTTCTTATTGAGGAAGTGGTAATCTAGTTTGAGCAGCAACTTGTATTTTAAGATGTTATTGCTTAGAAGCTTGAAGGCTTTTGGTCTCATGGCAAAAATATAGTGTTAAATACTGAAGTCTAGAACTTTCGGAAATTCAAACTTTCTTTTGAACAACACAAAAAATTCAATAAGAGTCCTGTTATAATATGTATTAAAGAAAAATTGGTAATGGGAAATAGAATCACTAGAAGACGTGTTTGCAGATGAACCTGAAAATATTCATGGCCACTGTAAATTTCTTTTCGAGATTTCACTTTTTTATCAGACTGCTTAAATTATGTTACTTACTGTGATATGAAGGAAGTAATTAGGCACATTATAATTATTATATGTAATTATTTCCTTAGGCTCCTAGTATAATGTAGGGCTTCGTGTCACACCTGAACACCCCACTCGCCATTTCTCAATCGGGTTCCACTCAAGCTCTGGCCTGAAACACGATGTTACTCGGCTGTCTCTTCAGTGTGTGCTCCCTCTATTCGCTGGGTTATGGGTTCTTGCCTTATTGCTAATTCTTTCACTATCGAGCGGAGGCAGTTGTTGATAAACTCTGCAACCTGTTGCATAAGTTTTTGATGACACGCGCCAAGTCTCTGCACTATATATAAGTGCCGAGTCGACACATGTTAAAATTCGGGATCTTGTTCCTGATGCTTGGTGAAGTGGATTTCCAAACTGATTTAAGAGTGATGAAGGTCAATCTCGCCTTTCAAATCCAGCCTTTAAAATGCTCGTCCCATGTTCCCTTCAGCTCCTACCTTCTCTACTTCTTCTGCGAATTAGCTGATTTTCTCTTTTTGCAGTTTCTAAAGCTCTACTAATTTTTAAATTCTTTAAATAATTAAACCAGTTATGAAGCACTAGCAAAAAATAATTTCGACCAAACTTTATACACAGAATAAATTCCCTTATTGTTACAAACTCTTAAATTGTCACGTTCAAAGTATAACAAAAAGTGTAGCGGAAATTAGTCGTGAATCGATCTGACCCTACACATTCTAAATTTGATGTCCAGAATAGTGGATGAAATATAAAGAGTCAATAATCTGCGGCTCATCTTTAGTTAACTCGATAAGACAACTGATATTAACCTGACTCTATGAAAACAGTTTAAATCCATGAAGAAATTTCATCTTCAGAATTGAATAACGGGCCTGGACTGTAACAAACACAACCGCAGTGCTGTTCAACATCTAGCTAGCCCGGCAGCTTTCACTCTCATCTGCCCGCATCAGTTTCCATGCCAATCAGCTGATATTACTGTGGGTGTCATTTTTAATTTCGTTTTCTAATACAAGCGTCCGGGACAGGTATTCTGCTATAAATTAAAGTCAAATTCCATATACTTTGGTTACTAATGATAGTTAAACCGCAATTCAAAGTACTTAAGAGACTAAAAATATTTTGACTCTCCAGATTTGTTACATATACGGATTTTCGAATAAATTAAATTATAAAGCACTACTCTACCCATTTGGTACTTGGACTGGTGAAGTAAAGGTCAGACCACCGTCTGTCCAAGACAATACGAGATGCTTTGATGTTGGTTAAATGTGCCCAGTTAACAGAAGCAAATTCTGTATAGTTGCTAATTTTCACTTGACTCCATGGGAAATTGTTTGCCAGTTTCAGTGCAGAAGAAATAGATTTATCACTGATTAAACCCAAATATACGTCACCACTTTTCAGAAGGATCCATATCTGACTCTTATGAAGTATGACATCTGTCAGCCAGAGAAAAAAAAAAGAAAGCAAAAAGGTGAAAACTAATCGTTACAGCATTCAGTTGACTGACAGGTAAAGATGGATCTGAGCCAAGTTAATGTGATAACATAGTTTATTTTCATTTACGTGACTATTGCATTATTAGTATGTAGGCTCACTGAAAGGATTTGAATAAGGCACAAATATGGTTGTTTTTTGAAGATAATCTAAACTTGTAATACGTTTATTGTTCCGATATGGCAAACAGGTATATGGAGTTTATGCGTAATGTCTACGGAATTATTGTTTTATGTAGTTGAAAATAACATTTGAACCTTAGAGAAAATGTACGAAATAAATGGAAACTGCACTCTATAATTAGATTCGTAGTTGGGACCATATTTAATACTCATAACTTTGAACAATTCACAAAAACTTTGTTCCTTCGAAATTAACCACCTTAAACCTAATATGACTGAAGTTCAGCTTGACAATCTGCACACGCATCGTTCTCCTAAGTTAATTGACGAAGCAAGTGGACTAGAACAATTCTAACCTGACTTTAAGGTCCGTATTGTAAGCACGACTTCACAACCGGAACCTTGAATAAATGATAAATTACAGTTTCCGATGTCTGACTATGAAAAAAGAAAATTGACTTGTTTACATAAATTGTTCAGACAACAGCTGATTACTCTGGATCACTTAACATAATACTGCCTTTTGAAACCACTAGACAACATTGGACATTAAACTTGTCGTTTTTGCACTGTAACTCATATGAAATAAATGTTACTTAAAGTAAACAACATCTGAATGCCTTATATTTTTCCATTCCAGTTCAAAACCCCCTACACAGCCTATCCAATAAATAAAAGACTAGATAATTCTGTTTTCAAACAACTGTCAAACAAAATTTATATCTTAGTGTGTGACCTCATAAACAAATATTTGTAGACAAACTATAGGCATCAAAATAGGGATTTTAAGATATTGAGCAAATCGAATGAGCTGTGTTCATGCTAACAGTGTGAACAAAACTTAATCCTGGTTGTTTATCAGAAAGGTTTTTAAGGACATACATATATTATCTATAGTTGGTTTATAAGGATTAGATTTGTTTTTACGAGTTGATCACGGATTGATATCAGCTAGAGAACCATTGAAAACCAGAGAGTACTGGACATCTGTTTCATCCTAGTTTGGGAATCATCCTGCGTTCGAAACTCAGAGGGTGAGTACTGCGGATGATTCCCAAACTAGGATGAAACAGCTACCCAGTAGTCCATGGTTTTCAATGGTCAGGTCAGAAATTGCGACTACAGACATTGGGTGTTTTCTGAATTAAAGGATCACCCTTCAATAAATCAAAATGTATTCACATTTTATTTACCATTCTGACATCCGTTCCATCATTGAACAGATTGTGAGCTCTAACTTCGGTAAGGGACTAATTTATTCAGATTTCAGAAATGCAAAAGACCCTTAAATGATTTAAAAATATGCACATTCTTATAAACACATTACTAGAAGGCTAAGGTTAGAATGTATTATACTAAATAGCATCTCAGTGTCAATAGGAAACCTATTCCGATCCATCCACATTTACAGACTGTCTAGTAAACAAGGAAAATACGTTGAACGTCTATTGTTTACCGGGAATGGAGTTTCTTTACTGAGGCTTGCATTTATTATCTGTCTTGATACTATTTAGTCGAAAAAATCACAAAAGAGAACCACATGTTTTATTGTAAAATAATGTTTGAATATGTCAGACTTCTAGATATGTGTAATTCATCAGTCTCGTTTTAGAATCACTAAATGCAAAGTCACTTATTAGATAAGTTTTTCATTTATGAATCATTGCGAAATTCTGAATGTTGTCAGTTTTCTCTATTTTATTACACTATTTGTATTCTTCTCTTTTACCCACAAAGAAAAAAAATGAAAGCTGCACAGAGCTGGTCTACTACCTTGACAAATTCAGAATATGTTGGGATCACCGCAGCATCTCATTGCCAAATGGCATTCTGAAATGTTAGAGTCGGTAGGAAGACAACTATATACGTACTGCCTTAGCAAAACTTTCGAATGTATTGATTGCATAAAACACTCGACTGCAACTGCGAACTTATACTATCAATGGAAACAGAGTCTCTACTTATTAACGTGTTGCTTACAGAAACAATTTTTTCCTTTGCAAATATATGGGTGGAAAAAATCTTTAATTCTTTAAGGAAGACCTTTAAAGCATCGCTGGTAGCCATATTGCTACTAGGCAGTTTTAAGGACAAATTTACACATATGACTACTACAGTATGCATATATCAATTCACTTGATCCTGTAGTGCTAGTAGTGTAACAACAGAAGACAAGGGCTGGCAACAGATTGTTTTATTACGGAAATCAACACGTATTTATATAAATTTCACATACATTATTATAGCCTAGTAAAGTAGACAAACGCAGTCTTCCGATTGGTTGTTTTCGAGTTCCTCGGAAAGTGGAGTCATTTATCTGTGAATCATATTTGCCCACGTTTAAGTTTGCTGTGATTGGTTGTTGAAACAGCCTTGTTCATGTTTTCTCACGGCCCATATTAGTAACCTAGACACTGACGTAGATTAATGTCAACCCATCGGCTAGCAGGCCGCTCTCACCACAGTAGTATAGGCGCCTCCCTTCAAAATGTATTAGAGAATACTACCAGATATAGTTGCAAGAAGGCAACACTCGTTCACTCAGAACAGCTGTAATTGATACGAAATTATGTCAAATGGTTAACTCCCGATTATCTAGAAGTAGCCACCATTCTAGTCAAATGTAGTATCATATTGAATTTGTCATTGAGAATAGAAACTTGTCTGATACTTGATTGTGAACTCCTTCAGTTTTCTGTTGATTATTTTAGTAACGTTCAAGCAGTCGGTTGTTTAGTTTTTACCAATCATTGTGAATAGTTCTTAAATTCCTAGTTTAGGCAGATGGCTGACATCTGACTAACAATTTTTGTTATTCAACATAATGGTGTGAATTTACTGTAGTATAACAGGATCTGATGCAGAGTACTTGGAAATCAACCGTAGTATTGAGAACTTACTTATGGGTTGCCATTATAGGTTATGAACGCCTAAATCTTCCTCAGAAGTTGAATGAATTGTATATCTAAAAAACTGAGATCTACGAAAAGGATTTAATTTTGTGATTGAATTTGAGATTTTATAGTCGATTGATTGAACCGAAGTTCTCGGTCTCAGGTTGACATTTCGGCTTCTTGTGCAAATGCTTCGACGATGTCTGGGCAATTAATTAGAATTTAATCTGTGAATGGTGACTAGCAGTGGAATCCAGGATGCGAATTTCATCCTATTTGGGACTCGTCAGTCTCGAGCCTCGGCGGGAACATCATCACTCACTGGGAAATGCAGGCACATCCAGATGACGAGTCTCAAATAGAACGAAATGCGCATTCTGGATTTCACTGCTAGTCACCATCCACAGATTAAGATATAGGTGTATTTAAGGAATAACTTATTTATTCAGTGCACTATTTTGGGGAAAGGACATAACAAGAAGGTGAAGTAAATAAGATATTCTCAGTATGGTGCTACAATAACAGCAATACTGGATTATCATTTTCAACTGTAATGAATTATTCTTTGATTACCTTTAATACTGCGATGAAAATCATGCACAAATGAGTAGGTGAATATCCAATTCCCGTTTAAAAGGATGTATATGTGAGCATAATTTTCATCCACGGTCAACAAGTTAACTGAAAGATCTAAATCAATATATACAGATATAAAACATTTTAATTTATCAGAATAGTTCAACGTTATTATGGCATAACGGTATTAAACTGGATTCCTCAAAAAGCCACAAGAAACAGTAACCATTACACATACATTATTAAGCCTCACAAATAATCCAACTATAAAAGAAGGGTAAAAGGAGATTTATGCACTCCTTATAGTTGGTCACATTTCCTCTAGTATAGTTATTCTGACCATTACTTTAGATGTAAAGAGAATGTGGTCTAATGGCATAAGCACTTTTATCATTCCAGTGCAATGGTTCACAGAACCACTCATAACCATAACCGATAACTAAGAATATTCAACTTTTTAAGTTAGAACTTGCAACAATTATTAATCAGGCAGGAATCGATCAATTAATCAGATTTCGGTAAGACTCTTCAACTGAATTTACGCATAGTATTATATATTCCATGAGAAATACATTAGGCGATGTGTAACTGATTACTAAATTCTAATAAGTCAGTCAGTCATAACAAAACGAAAGGTGAGAATGTTTTGCAGGTCAAGTCGAGATAGACAGGAGGTGGCAGGAGTATGAGGGAATGACCTGACCACTTCTATGTGTATATATCAGTTCACCTGTTGCTGTGGAGCCAGGTACATAGGTCGTTCGATGCGCATCCTGTCAAAAAGGGTCAAACAGCACTATGCGGCGTGACTACAGGAAGGAAGTAGTGGCCGAATAAGAAGTGAAATAATCGAACATCTCGTCATCCCTGGTCATTCCACCTCGACAAACGCCTCCTTCAAAGTAATCTACAAAGTGAAGAACAACCTGCCAAAGACAATGCGTTTCTGTCTTCGTTCCATTGCAGAAGCCATAGCCGTTCAGTTAGAAGAATCAGAACTGTGCATACAAAAGAAAACTATTCAGTCATTTCTGCTATCAACTCTGTTGATATGACTTTTGCTTTTTTGCTTGTTTTTCTAACTACTTAAAAATTTTGTATTCCTTTAAAACTCTTAAGTAATTCCATATTTTATTTTGTTTCCATTTTCACCCTGAGCACAACTCTTCCATCAACATTCTCATGTTATTACGTAACTCTTCTTTAACAATCGTTTGTGGTAACTCGTCACTTTTTATACTTCCCTCTTATATCAACATCCCATTCCTCTGCATACGTTTTGTATTATGCAACTCCACCCAAAACTTACTAATTCTCACCTGTTTAGTTGAAATAACCGTGACCAATTATATTTTTATTTGACAAACTCAATGTACACATACATATAAAATAACGTATATACATTTGCGACTGTACAGCTAAGAAAATGAATTCGCTGAAAAGAGACTCTTAGCTGAACTACTGGTCTTTTTTCTATCAATATTCAAATGGGGATTTTTCGTGGACTGCATAAAGCACCTGTGAAATCATATCAACAACAACAACAGAAAAAGATGCTCAGGTTCACGGTAGAATCCCAACATGTTCTTCATTCATCCGTTAGTCATCACTCACCACAGCTGTTTCTATGATTTTTCCAATTACATAGTATACATCTATTGCCGAAAGTTTTCTGCAATAAATGAACAATTATTACTTCTTTTTATTACAAGGTCAAAGACCACACTAATCTTGTGAAGGCTGATGATGCTACGCAGTTGCCTAGGTTGAAATATGTGGAAAAATAAAGGAATAGACTAACTAAAAGTCCGAATCTAGGGTCGATGACCGTCATCTCTTAAAATATTAAACCAGTGTTCAGTTGACTCTATAGACAAACTTAAGGAAATTAGCTTAATGATACAGAGATTTTGCGTCTATCAAGTATCATAAAAAAATTGTTTATAAAGTTGTTATAAATAAGTTCATGGTAAAGATTCACCCCTTAAATATCGCATATATATACATATATATCCCACAATGGGTTAACTTTTTATTCCAAGAAGATGCTGACAACTACAATCTAGCCCATAAGTGAATCATTCCTCATGGTGATGTAGTGCACTTTAAGACTATTTTAGGTCAAGGTCGAAGCGCAAACACCCACTGTAGAAACACAGTGATTTTGATTTACTGAAGCCGTGATTGTTTGAATTGCCAGGCAGATATCGATATAACGGGTAGTGACTTAAAGGTAAAATAAGAATCTTGGTCAGTACGAGGTTAATTCAAAGCGTGAGGTTCATATTTTTGATTAAGTCATTCTACATGTTACTGGTTTTCGTAAAAAAGAAATTAATTGGGGCTACGTTGAAGAGCAGAAAATGAAGAAGACAATATTGCTTGTGAAAAATTAGCATTTTCTTAAAACTCTATGCTACTGATTTTTTGAGACGGGCAGTTGTATGTCATTTGGAATTTATCGTACCAAGGAGGCCACATATTGTGATATAAATATTTTTGGGTTTTAAAACGAAACTATGTTGAAATTTCACCTAGAACAGTGTGAAATTCAAATTAATTTGCAAACTGTGAACTTGATTTGAAAGTCGGAAATTACAGAAAGTATTCTACACCTACTATACGGATCAGAGACTTGGCGAGTCATAAAGAGCATCTCAAACAAACTTCAAACCTTCATTAACAACTGTCTCCGCTCAATACTCAAGATCAGATGGCCAGAAAAGATCAGCAACAGGGATCTCTGGGAGCGAACCAATCAGGAACCGATTGTGAAACAAATAGGCAGAAAGAAATGGAGATGGATTGGCCATACGCTGAGGAAACCATCAAGTGAGTGACATCACTAGACAAGCCATCGCTCGAGTGGAACCCGAAAGGGAGGCGGCGAGTTGGTCGTCCAAGGGTGACTTGGAGGAGGTCATGCGAGGAGGAGATGAAAGCATGTGGACAGACCTGGAGCAGGGTGAAAAAGTTGTCAGAAAACCGAAGTCAATGGAGGTGCGCAGCTGAAGCCCTATGTTCCTCTAGGAACTAAAAGATACAATATATATATATATATTCTACACCTTTCTGACCTGTACATTGATACTCATATGCTTACAAGTCATGTCGCACTCGTCAAATATCTGTTTCCCGGGGGTTTTTATTCTTTCGAAACTTTATTCATAAAATTGCGTTGTCAGTTGTCGACACAACTAGCTGATTTCATGTTGTTTATCATGTGTAAAATGAATTTTGACAGCTTCCCACTTAAATTCGTATTATACGCCTGCCACAATCTGTTGTGGCTGTTTTGGTGAGATATGCTAGCAGGTGTTAACCAACTGACTGAAGTGAATAAAACAAAATGAAGCTTTTTAAAATGAAATCAGTAGAGCGCCATTTCCTAGGGAGTAAACTACTACTGGAACTAATCGGTAAAACATTTGTTACTAAATGTTTTGTCAGTGTGTGCTTAAATTTTGTAATATCTTGTAGAAGATTAAAGGGGATCGTCTATTCATTTCTGAACAGATTATAAATTAAAACTCCGGAACCTAGATGGGACAGAGGTTTTTCCAAAGTGTTAGGTGAAATTTGTTAATATGTTAGTATGTTAAGTAAAGTCAAATTCTGTGCCGACACATTGTTTGTAACGAACATACTCAAATCTTCAACTGGTAGACTGACTGAGGATAAAATTATTCATAATCAACTACACTGAGTCTATATCGCATCACTAAACAGAAAGGACACCAGGACATTATTTTTTTTTAAAGAAACGATTAACCTTTGTTCAACGTCTCTTGATGCATTGAAAACCTCTCATTGGATTGCTGAACGTTTATGAAGAGCTGATAGTGAGTATTTCGCGATAAATCAGATATTTCATATTTCATTGTTTCATTGAAATATTTCTGTTCAACCAAACTGGTTATATTTGAAGAATTCTTGGAAGATATATGCAGCAGATACGACCATTTGTGCCAACCAGAGGGATCTAAATGAAGAACATAATAATTAACAGATTTTCTGATAATTAAAAAGCACAATTTATTTTTTAGAACCTTTTGAGAAAAACAAATTTTTCCATCAATTCTTAAGTCATTTTTGTCTCATGGTAATATATCACTAACAAAGTATGCCAACGTATGTCATCTTAAATAGTTTCAGCATAATTTGGCTATCAGCCTTCATCCTAATCTTATCAGGACTATGGAAACAAGTCTTGGACAAGTAGCAAGTGTTTCTAAAAAGTATCAGCACAGTTCGCAACACTGATGTCTAGAAAAATTGATATGTGGTTGTAAGAGTACCTGCTGAGACATCTTGAATCCTAACCCATCTACGATTTCTTTCATATGTTATGTGAAATATGGTATATATATGTATATATACTACCTTGGTATTTTTCGAGCCTCGTACACAACAATAAGGTGTTCTATGCAGTCCCGAAAGGCTCCACTAGCTTTGTTGCTATACCAAAATATACTAGGTGATTGTTAAACTTGTAGTTCCTCAGACATACATAGAGATGGGTAGCCTTTTAGTGTGTTAGCATTCCCTAACTTGAGGTGGATTTTTACTAAAGCTTTTTGTCAGAAAAACAAATATCCATTAAATTTCACACTGTACAAACATAATACCTGCATGATTACTTTTATGCATACAGTGGATCATTTGATTTCAATCATATATCCACTCACTAAAGCATACTTTATTTAGTACTTAACTAGTTTTCATTTTATCTTGAGGCATAAAATCTGTTTTATCTCTTGGATAAACACTTTAGTAAACAAAACAATTGAATATTTTGTCGCATATAACAGTTGTTTACTTGAATCTCCCTCCAACTGCTTATTTATGAAATAAGTAGGGAAAATCGACTTAATTTTAATGTGAATTGACATTTATCAAATGAAAGATATTAAATAGTTTCGACGTGTTTACAACTTGGTAAAATAGGTTTTATTTTTTCTTCTACATTTATTCATCAGCCAGTACTCGTACAAGCATCATCATCGTACAAGTAAAACAATTTTTTTTTCAGTTTACATAGATAAATTTGCAGCCTAACAAACATCCTTCTTGATTTACACATTCCATCTATCTTATGCAGCATGTGATTTGGTGTGTGCAACTTATCCTATCATGTGACGATTATAGTTATTTGTTGTTACAAACAATATCAGTCGTTTCGTAGTCTTTAACATTTTCAGACGTAATACCATTTTTATAGGTCCATGTGTGTAGTAGATATCTTTGTGAAAACGTTTAATCCTCTCACTTAAAAATTCGAAGTATGTACTAGACAACACAAATTCACAGTATGGAATAACAATAAACTGTATAACATGCATCATGCAGCCACGCACACATATGTCAGTCATATTCCACTTCTAAACGATATGCACAAGCGGACGTCAATGGGCAGTTGGAAAAAAAGAAACATACTATCACTAATATAAATGATCCCATTAAAATATATATATATATCCCGAGAAACTGCCAACGAAACGAAACAGTCACCAGAAATTCAAGTGGTTAGAGTGGTAAATAAGTTGTCATAAATTTTTAACGGTATAAACAACTTTATGAAGATTTATTTCTCACAGATATGAATGCAAAGTCTGTTCAATCAAGGTGCTTAATCAGGTTTTGGTTTTTAGTGAGACCACTGAATGTTTTGTTATAACCACCTGTTTTAAATTGGAATAAAATTCCTCTTTACACTCACTTTTATATTGCTTATTCCAGATGCATGATCTCCAGCTCAAAAATGCTTTATTTTCTAAGAACATTGTGGATATATCTCGTAGACTTGTGGAACAAGCTATAACAAAAGAGACAACACAACTTAACGAAATACAAACAATATGAGTAGTACTTAAGTGTCTAAGAAATACAAAATTTAGTATCTAGTCTTTTTAAGCTACAGTTGTGACACAAATATGACTAAAGTTTTGATCAGTATTTACTACTCATAGAAATATGTCGACCGTAATGACAATTAGTCCTCTTCTTCGTGTAAAACAGCAGCAAAAAGCTTCATTTATCTCAGAGATAAGCCACGATCATTTCATTTATTCATGTTATTCGAGCCAAAACTTTGGTTATACAAAAACCTACTGTGTCAAATGAGTAGTAGTAGTTGCACTTTCACAATAGGCTTTAAAATTACTTATTGCTAGTATCACTTCATGTGGTCATCATATTCTATTTTCTCAACGTGTATGACCAATTACCATATCTAAGACGTGCTGTAGTAGCTGATTTATTTACCAGTGATGTCACTAGTTTTAACTTCAACACATGAAATTATTGTCCAATAGACTCAAGCAGTATTTTCTGCACAGCTTTTTCAAACAGGAACAGGAGGACTTTTATGAGACTGTCTTAACTGATAAATTCATTGGCAAGTGGGTTGTAACCACTTTTATTTCTACCATAAAGACTAAATATTTTGTCATTGTTCAACATTAATGAGAAACTAGCCTGAGTTCTGTTTCTCTTTAGAGGACGAAAAGCGTTGGCATTCAAGGGTAAAATTTGCACTTATCTGTAGACACTTTTGAAACTAAAATCCTTTTGAAAGGAGCCGCACATTGAATCCGTCATGACTATTCGACCTGTTTTCTTACAACATATATTAAATTGATGAAGTTAGAGTGGGAACAAACAAAGCAAGAATCAATCGCCCAACAAATATGCAGGAGAAAGTGGAGGTGGATCGGACACTCGCTGAGGAGACCACTGGGTGACATCGCGCATCAGGCCCTCGAGTGAAACCCGAAAGGGAAGCGGCGTGTGGGACGTCCAAGAGTGACATGGAGGAGATCGTGCGAAGAGAAGTTGAAAGAGTGTGGACTAACATGGATGCAGGTGAAAAGTACAGCAGAAGATAGAAGCAAATGGAGACGTGCAGTTGAAGCCCTATGTTCCACTAGGAACTCAAGGGAGCAAGGATGATAGAGTGGCTGTGAAAACCTGAGTTTCTGACATTTCAAGGGCAGAAGTCAGGTAGATGACGCTGGGTAAAAATATTCTGCAACATAATTGCTGTATGCAATTTATTGGCATTTGTAATGACTGAAAACTGCTTTTCACAAAAAGATTTAGCTTATTTTTGCACATCCAACCCTTGCATCTCGACGTCTTATATGATATGAGCCTGACAATAGGGATTTGTATAGCTAAGGCTTCAAGAAATGCCGTCTAATTGTTTCACTTCTCTTTTTTACTTCCTTTACTTATCAGATACTCAGCTGCTTATTAAATAGAACCTGGTCATGACTTTGGAGTGGCTATTTTTTAAAAAGTAAGTTGATCGTTACTGCCATAGTTCTTTTATTCAACTCCTGATGATCAGTTAAAAAGATTCACTAGAGTGGTGCAACCGACCACTGATTATTATCCCTTTGTTTATGCATGACAACCGAGTGAAAGCAGGCTGATGCAACATCCACTAGTAGCATGGATTAATTAATTAACCAAACTTAAATATGAATCGTGTCATCCCATTGATTTTAATTTCATTTATCATATCAAGACAAGACACAACTGGAGTAGTTCCATTGAGTCGATGTAACAAATTTATGCATTCAAACAGCTGCTTCAAGAAGCACAAACAGTAAGCCATTGAAATCTTTCGAGGGAGGTGTTCCATATTCATTCCTTGGTATTTTCATTATTTAACTGTTTTCTACAGTCCGAACAAAAAATTAGGCTGATCTAAAGTCACCAAGAAGTTTACTCACTTTACAAACTCTTTTACAATCAACGCAATGTTTTATTTTCCATGGTTTCTTTTTTTACATTGAGAAAAGGTAATGAGCACATATTTAATGCAGTTCATACAAATGTTTGAATGTGTCCTGTAATCTAAACGAATAAGTTATCAGTTGAAAACACCTCAGTGTAAAGCTGAATAAATTCTCGCTGGGTAAGACAGATTAAGTCTAGTTTTAGAGTGCACAGTGTTAAGTACATTATTTTCTGTCATCGTAATATTTATTGGCTAACAGGACAAAACGATATTATGCAAACCTTTTGTAAAATCAATACTAGTAGCCAGTATTAAGTTGTTTACGTGATCAGCATTGTAAACATAACAAACACTGATACTTTATGGATTCAGGTTAGATTTTGTAAGTTGACGTGTTTTATCATTATCTTTTTTTAAAATTAAGCTCTCAATGGGAAAAAGATCAAGTTTTTTACAGGCGGTTAATTTGCAAGAAAAGTCACTGATACTTCGGTGTTTGAAACCAGTGTGACTACCTACCACCTGCTGATGAATCTGTTCACATACTTATTTCAGAGCAAATAAAATGAGAAGTAATTTCCCGAAAAGGATGCATTTTTTCTTTAGAGACAAATGTTTTAAAGTTTAAAAGAATGCGAAACCTGCTGTAGCACATCTGCCATGTATTAACAGGTGGTAATGAGAAAAAACAATAACTGATATGCTAATTTGATTACCATGCTACAGGAAAATCTTAATTGCAATCGTTTCAACAGTTTATATGAGAAAACTTACTTGGGGTAAACTGCTGCTCTTTTGTAATAACAACGATTGGTGATCCTGTTAGATGAGACATTTCGTGACAAGCAAGTTTACTGGAATCCGCATATGAAGGTGATTCTAATAGAAACATTGTGTTTGTCTTGTAGTTGAAAATTATGTATCCAAGTTTTATCTGAAAAAGTTTTATCCGTTCGGAATAAATAGGTTCAAAATGTGATTTACAGTCAGAAGTGATTAACTTTACGTCCTTAATTAAATTGAATTCATAATCCAGTTGAATTAGGGAATTATTTGGAAGTAATATAATGAGACGCGTTTCCAGTGGTTTGCATTGTAAAGATGTTATATTTATGTTTACAAAATACTTCTGCCTATTGGACTCAAGGCATTTGTTGCTGTTGTTATTTGACTGATTGATATCCGGCAATAGAAATCTTTCTAATTTATATTTATTCACTGTAACTGACTTCTTCACAACGAAGATAAATCTGTAGATAAAGTATAAACAAAAAGAAAATAGTATTTCTAAAAGAAATACTCAGAATAATCGAATAGGAATGATAAAACCAAACGAATAAAAGACGCTTCAGATAATCTCATAATTGACTTATTATTTCAACTAAATGAAGCTTAAATAGCTGTTAAGATTATTTAGTGGCAGTCTATTCGGATTGAAACAGTCTGCAATAATTTGCAGAGTATGCTTTCAGTGTATCTAGCCACATAGATCCTAGTTACTAATGTTAAAATGTACCTTGCTTGTTAGGCTCAGCGTTCTGTTCCGGTGTAACAACTAACTGACTCACTTTATTTTTGCTTGCAATCGGACTGCAACACTGGACTTCACTAAAATATCTCAACTGTTCCTGATTCACTAACGGTCTGTACAAACTTACTTTATGCCATACTTTAGAAATCTGTATACTGGTGAATCCAAGCACAAGATTCATCTTTATTGCTGCTTACCCTGATAAAACCTATATTTTGCAGGAGATCAAAACTATCATCACATAAAAATAAAGTGCGAAAATTTTCCGGAAGAGTATTTTGGTTGTAAACCATCTCCAGAAGAAATAAACAACCATATAAACAAACAGCGTGTGATTTCCAAATTTAAAATCGTTTCACTGCATGGTCTAAAGAACCTAATATGTGTTTAAAATTTACCGAACGGTCACAGATTTCTGTTAATGCCATATTTTATGGTTTAGACTCTGTAGTATACTAATTCTAGGAGAATAAGGCGACTGTTTATACGAAGTTCTGCAGTGAAACCACTATCCGAAATATTCTTCATAATCAACTGAGTTCGTCTGGAAGATCGAAAATTCCTAGCTGCAGGAAAGTGTTAACTACAATATATTGTTTTTTGTCATTTCATTACGGCACAGAACACTACTTATAAATTAGCTATGAATTCACAGTTTCATTTGTTCACTCTGTGTAAAGGAGCCACCAGTTGAAGTAACGATAAATAATTTTATAGTCCGCCATACTTTATGTATCACAACTTCACAGTGAAATTCTAAACAAATACGACTTAGTCTAATAGCAGATAAGCAGCTCATTACTACATCGGAAGCTATTTTTAAATTTAGTTTCCAAAAAATTGCTAGTTTCATCGCATCCATAAATCGTGTTGCTAGCACCTCAACAGACGGAAACAGAATACCATTTCCGTTATATTAGGATCAGTAATTATTCATTCTGGCAGACTGACATTACATTTGTGAGTAAATTTATATTTAAAGTTTTTCAAACACCGTTCCGAAATCCTCTCTGCAGGACCATTTGAACTGGCTCACCCAGTTCGGTAAAAAAAAAACTAGGAAACAGTAATATAGGGTAAATAAATGTGGAAAAATTAATGCCGTAGTCAATATTCATCATGTGTGAATCATAGGGGTGATACGTGCTAGTTAATTATATGTTTTTTGTGAAACTTACAACAAAAGTATGTGAAGTTGTACTATAGGTAAACGTTCATCACAGAAGTTGGTGATCACAAGGCACCTACCAACCAATTCTACTGAAATTTAGGACTGAACTGTCAGTCTGTTTCACCCTGTTTCCTCTTCTGGTTCACATATATTATACAGACCCTAACCAATAAAGTAAATTTTATTCACTAAACTTCTGATTTTGTTTATGTATCACTGTTTTTTTCTCTGAGTTTAATCTTCCATCCTAATGGCTCTCTGAAAATGTGTTCAACCATCATTAAGTAGAGGAATAAATTAATGTGAGGCAAATAAAAAATACTCTGAATTCAGTCATCGTAACCCATGACAATATTTTGTTACGATAGTAATAAGATTTCAGGCTATCACATAATCAGTATTGATGCGTTTACACTTCATCTTAAAGCTTCAAGTAGAACAGTGTAACAGTAGGATTTCTTTTTTTCGGTTAATAAATAATTCACCTTAAAGTTTTCTTACGAACTAGCAAATTTTCATGCGTATTTTATTTGCATCAGAAATCAAGTCAATGCAAACAAGAATAATAAAAACATTCAACACATGAATCAAGCGTGTTTTTCCAATGTGTCAGGTCTTATTTTTCTAACAATTCTGCACGTACGAAAATAAATGAATTTTGTTCACATGAATTGATAAAATGGTTTATATCTTGACAATAGGTTTCAGTGTGGAATTTTCTCACTGATTTCATGAATGAAAAACGTGTTTTATCTCATATAATAACAGTAGTAAATTGTCTTTGTCTTGTAAACTACAACAAACTACCCACTCTTATTAACTTATTTAATTTTATTTTGATTACTTTTGCAACAACTGACCTCTTCAATTATAACTTCTTGGTCAAATGGTCAAACTTCAGCAGATTACTCATATCTTTCGCAGTTGATATTGAAGGCTTACACAAATCAATTCATTTGCATCCATTTGTAAGAGGTGATACTGTTTCACTAGCCGCCATTTATATCCATTTCATCTGTGTAATAATACTGAATTTCAATGAGCTGTTTAATTTTTATGACAGCCGGTTGAATGAAGTCTATGTTTAGCACTAGTGCGTCGGTGGCACAGTGGTTAGGACTCTCGCCGACCACGCACATGGTCCGGGGTTCGAGCCCACGCCGGCGCACACCTAATATCTAAGGTCGGCCTGCAAAATTTTGGCTACCGATATCCATGCTGAAAATTCCATACTTGTACCAAAAATACAGTGTGGAATCAAGCTGTAAATCGAAAATCAAATCAAAATCACTTATTTGTTGAATGAAACAACAAAAAAATGAAACAAGTAGAGTGAAGGTGTATGATTAAATTTATTTATTATACCTAAACAATAGTAAGACCAAGCAGACATTACTCTAAAATGGATAATATGCTTTGGATATCTCTTAAGAAGATACACGGAACATAGTGAACATATCACACTTGCAATGACTTTTCAACCTAAAGTATTTGCCATAGTACAAAAAGAAACTCAAAACCAGAATACTTAGTTCACCGGGAATTTACGTTCATGAATGTGATGTGTGCTTTATGCTGCTGAAATGCAAAGTATTCCACAGGATCAATAATGGTTTGATTTGCTTTTGGAGAGATGGAAAGGTTTTTATATGTGGATTTCAGTTTCATATCGAAAACTTTAGTGGTGGAGTCAATCTCTGTCACAGTCTGAAGTGTCATAAAGCAAAGCTTTCCGAAACCATGTATGTTTGTCTTCTATACTTCTAGATTTGCTCTACACCTCTGATATCTGATTTATATAATCTGGAGGCTTAAGGATCACTTACTGTGTAGGACTGCTTGCATCAAGAAATTGAAAAGTCTCTCTGTTGGGCAGTAGATCAGTAGATCATTATTTATGCACTAGAACAGATTTATTTAAAGATTTAGACGAAATTGTAGATCTTTTTCATTCAGATAATAACGGTCTGGAGAATTTCATTCAACTGTTCTTAGAGTTTCACTACCCGGCAGTTTTACAGTTTTAAGACAAGGTGCACAGTAAAGGGACTTACTGAAACCAAAATGTGCCTTTTTTTAATATCAAAGGTTTCTTTCAGAACAAAACAGAAACACAGAACATTAGTTCCACCAAATATAATTTCATTGGTCTATTTTTCATTTTTGAAAACTAGAACCCCTACGTTTGTGTACAGCTGTTAAGTTCATTAGTTCGGTGGTGGCTAGTAGCAATGCGTGTTTTCTTCCATTCAGGAGACAATTTCTGTACACACCTACCCCTCAGAGAGTGCTAGCCTCCACAGTGAGTCTAAAAGTCATCTAAAGGTTTTAGAATTTAGACACAATGTACAACAAACCTCACTGTCAAATATAGCTGCACACCACCTCAAAATGCTTTGTTTTTACACTTAAATGCTGAAAAATATATTTGACAAAAAAATTATTATTCACCAAGTAGGCAGTATTTTGTATGATGTCTGAGGAGAACTTCCAGGGATTTTATAAGGTGTAAATGGAAGAACTTGGTGACGAAACGGAAGTGCCACCTAGCTAGATTATACGAACGACATAGATTCGACTTCATCAAACTACATGAATGTTGTCCTGCCTAGTAAATAACTTGACTAGAGTCAGATGAATTTGAAAATGGCCTGTATTTAACATATAACTTCTGGGATTAAAACGCTTACACAAAATCTATGTGCTTCAAAATATCCTATACGTCAAGAAAGTGAATTTCTATCGCGTCTTCCATTTTACATCATATGACACAAGTTATTGGCGTTATTTGGTTACCCAATATGTAGATTGATAACACGGAAAACTGAAAACTAGAAAGTGGTCTTGTTTTTCTCCTAAAGTATTATGTACTGGTCGAGAATTTAATAGTCCTGACGCAAGAAAGACGGAAATCAGAAGACCACTAGGTTTGCGATGATACTTCTGTTTTTTAAACACAAGGAGAATCAAAATGTCACACAAGTGTGTGAGAGCAATTTAGTGTGAATGTCCGAGCAAGTGTGTGAAACAAGTGTGTGAGCGAATATTCAAAATGAACAAATCAATAGACAGTCTTAACATGATTGGCTAATTATAATGGAATATCGATCCATATATACATAGCAAAATATAACAGACTGTCAAGCAAAACACACATATTATATGGATACATATCATAAAGTTAAACTGTTGAACTGTTGCTTTCGCTTACGCCAGTAAATATGCTAGTAGTATCTACTTTTCTAACACCTTCAAACACTCTGTTTAATTTTGGCTTTACTACCGACACGCCAATATGTTGTTGTCAAAACTGACTGAAATAACTTTAATCTATGTAGAACTTTATTTATTGTTAATGTGCTAACTGGATGCAATATTGTAGTAAAATGCTGAGAATTCCATTCTGTATCACAAGTACTGTTTTGGAATTAACCTATTATCTTATCTTAAATCCTTCACACATAAACTATCCTTAAATAATTTAATAATTCCCGTTGTAGCATTTAGAACACAATATTCAGCGAAGAGACTCTTTTCAACGAATTTAT